TGGGGAGACAGAGATTGGGGAGACAGAGATTGGGGAGACAGAGATTGGGGAGACAGAGATTGGGGAGACAGAGATTGGGGAGACAGAGATTGGGGAGACAGAGATGGGGGAGACAGAGATGGGGGAGACAGAGATGGGGGAGACAGAGATTGGAGGAACATATACACATGAGGATATAATCTCCAGTGGATGATGAGAGGCGCCTGTGCACCGAGAGACCCTAGTTCAGAGCGTCACTTACAAGGGCTGTCCTTGCCAGTCGGGGCACTGTGTGTTCTCCTGGAAAACTGACTTTTATGAAGAAAATAAATACAGGTTGAGGTCACTAGGGAATAGACAGCGGAACTCTGCCAAGACTTTTTATATTAGAAACGCTTATTGTAAATGATGCCGTAGGACAAAGACATAGCGCCCTACAGCCTAGCCCTAAACGGTTAGTATTGGGTTTGTGAGTCTCCTCCTCCGCACCCCTCTGTAGCTGAAGGTTTTCCTGTGCTTGCCGGCACCAAGGACCCCACAGCTGCTTATAAAACAATCACTCAGAAGCTCATATTAATTAAAACTGTCTGGCCATCAGCTCAGCCTAACTACTGACTAGCTCTTACACTTAAATTAACCCATAATTCTTATTTATGTTTAGCCACGTGGCTTGGTATCTTTTCTCAGTTCTGCCTTCACATCTTGCTTCCTCTGTGTCTGGCTGGCAACTCCTGACTCAGCCTTCCACTTCCCAGAATTCTCTCCTCTGCTTGTCCCACCTATACTTCCTGCCTGGCTACTGGCCCATCAGCACTTTATTAACCAATCGGAGCAACACATTCACCGCATACAGAGCGACATCCACAGCACCACTCAGCTATATTTTGGCTTCAATGTCCCTAGCCTGCCCTCACCTACCTTCCAATCCACACTCCTCTCCCATGTTGGCTAAAATCAATGTCAGGCTCAGACAAGCTCTGCCAAGAGGACAGCCCTTCTCTGTGAGTTCCAGGGCAGAGCAGTCCTGAGCAGAGGAAATAGGGAAAGAAGGGGCCGTGGGAAGCTGGACAGGAATCGGCTCAGTGCTAGTGTAGGGGCCTCCTAGGCTTCTCCTGGTCTCCCCTTTGAGTTGGTTCCATAAGTCTCACTTTATAGATTAGAAGCCAGAGACTCAAAGGCGTGAACTGATGCTACCAGACCACACAAGTAGGGTGCATTTGTCATGGAAGCTACCGGCTGTGTCAACCTGCCCCAGCACAGCTGTGAATGTAACCCAACACAAGGCCAAAACTTGAAAGACGACGCCATAGCTGTTGCTTTTCTTCTGTAACTTGGTTGCCCAGTTCTCAAGCCCCAACTTTATAGATAACGTTGTGTTACAATGTTAGGTCGAAGCTGGCTGACCATAAACCCCATTGCCTTTTAAGCTCCAGGGGTCTGTGGCCCAAAGTCCCTCCCCTCCCCACATGCCAAAGCTTGCCTCACCCCACCAGCTCACCGGCTCTCCTTTCACTCATCTTGGTGCAGTCTGAAATCTTGACGCCTTCTGGAAGTGCCCTTGCTATTTGGGGACAGTCTGCTCCAGCCCCCTCCTCTTTCCCTTTTAAGCATTCAAGAGGAATACGATCCATCTCTCCCCTTCTAGAAAACTCTTCCCAGGAGCTTCCTATTACTTAAAATGACCTTGGCATCATTACAGAGAACTGGCTCCGTGGAGTGTCAGGCTGAAGCAAATCTAAAGAGGATTGGCATCACCTGAAGTGTTGGCAAGCCATGAGGACCACTGAAGGAGGCTAGAGCCAGGGCCTGTGTGCACAGGCAAAACCCTGGGCAAATGGAGTACTTACCAATTAATTGAGAATCACCAGAACAAATGGGGCCTGTTCAAAACAGCAATGAGCCCGTGGTTCCTCCCCATTTCTATGGAGGTCATAATGTGGGTGCAGGCTGACGTGGAGTTAACCAGGACAGGAGGACCACTGTATAAGGAAGCCGGGGAGGGTGTCCGGGAACCTCAGGCACCATCCCCCCAGGGCCTAGGCCCTCCTGCTTGTGTGGCTTTGGCAAGCCTCCTGTTCTTCTTGTTAAAGAGAGAGGTCAGGAAATCTACCTCCCAGGTGGTGTGGAGACGGAATAGGAGATACACCGGTGCTGATACCACAGGGCAGATAGGGATGTGTAAAGGCTTCTCAGCTGTGCCTGAGCTAGCCTTGACAGTCCAGGAACAGATGTGGACCCAGAGTAGCCTATCCTCCCAGAACACCCAGGGCCCTGTTCTCAAACTTTAAAATTAAAACGAGCCAGGTGTGGTGGCACACACATTTAGTCCCAGCACTTGGGAAGCAGAGGCAGGTGGGTCCCCTTGAGTTCAAGTGCAGCCTGGTTTACAGAGTGAGACCCCCGTCTCAAAAACATATATGTCGGCTACAGTGAGGGGCTCAGGACTCTGGGCTGCTACAGCCCCCCCCCACTTCCTTCCACTACACAATAGCTTTCCTGCCTTGTTCTGACTTCCTTTTTTTTTTTTCAAAGTAGCATTACTTTCTTCCACACTATAAACACCCCTGTGTGTAATTTCTTTGCTTATTTATCTGGAATAAAAACTGCACAAGGAGAGACACCTTCGATTGTTTCAGTCATTGCTCTTAGTCTGAAGAAGATTGGTCTCGATGGTTACTTCCTAAAGCGGTGCTGTTGGCCGTGCGTGCATGCACTGGGAACTTTGTCTCTGTTTTTCCTCTCCACCAGCTCTCCGCACCCCCACCCCCACCCCGTGTGATATGCTGCTTGGTCATTGGCCCAATATTAACAGGGTCAACCACCATGGACTGAAACCTTCAAAACTAGGCATGGAAATAAACCTTGTCTTTTCCCAAAGTTGATTGTCTCAAGGTTCATTCTGGTAATGGAAGCTAGTACCTTGGGAGTAAATGGATGGGTGAGAGGGTAGGTGGACGAGTGGATGCCCTATGGCAATCATCTGAGGTCTGCGCTGTAGGCTTCTCTGCTCTGTGGTTCCAAGGCACAAGAGGATCTTGGTTATGTTTGTCTAACACTTGATTATTATATCATATCATATCATATTATATTGTATTGTATTGTATTGACTAATGAGTGAAGATGATAACTTTAAAATCAAACGATTGTATGGTCTTGATGAATGTTCACAGCACAAAGAAGAGTTTCTTAGAGAAAAATCCCTTGTGTACAAACTGCTGACTGGGAGCCTCCTCTTTTGGGCACCACCTCTAACCACCCAGACATAACCTGACTTTGCCAACAGGGGGCGCTAAATCCTTATTTTCCTGCTGCACGTGGAACTTAATAAGGCCGTCACTGTGCAGGCCTAGAAAGGCCGTGGAGGAATAAAGGAAAGGCCAGGTGAAGTCCATAGGCACCACCCTCCAGTCCCCAGGGCAGAGTAGGTGACTGCAGAAGGGCTGGGAATTTGAGGTGCTTAGGCCCTACTGCCATATGCCAGGCCTGGCACACTATGCCAACTGCTGTCTCCCTGCACCCCCTGGTGACTCAGAGTCTGCATTTTGAAGATGGGAGTTGGGATAGGGTGGGTGCCTTGGCTGGTGTCTCATACATAGAAAACACCCCTGGTGCGATTAGAAACCAGGCCATCAATCACTGTTCCCTCGTCTCACCAAGAATCCATGACCAGCGTCTGATGGGCCAGCTCAGGCCCTGGGTTTGAAGGTAAGGACAGCAGAGGCAGGCCACAGTGGCTGAGGAGGGCAGATTTCTTCTCCCAGTCGCCCCCACTCTCAGCGTCCTCCAGAGGGGAACCTGGTGGGCCTGGAGATTAAGGCAGGGGCCAAAGCCTGCCAAGAACCACGACACGCCTCAGAGAAAGGCCGTGATGATCAGAGGCCCAGAGAGAAGCAGCAAGGTCTCCCTGAAAGGACTTGGCTTGCCGGAGCTGTGGCTACAACCTGGAGTCTGTAATGGGGCTCTCTTTTCCGTCACAGCACCAGAGTCTCACATAAGAGACTCCCCAAAAGTTTAATAAAGAAAGGGTTCAATTTACAAGTAGCCACACGGGGCCCAGCAAGGTTCTTTAACCTCATCCAAGTTCACGCTACTTGCATTAGGGTGTGTGTGGGCCAGTCTGAAGCCAGGACCAGCATGGGCCTCTTCCCAGATTCCTGGGTTGCAGAAACAGTCCCTGAAGAGGTCCCCCCCCCCTAGTGTGGCCTTGGGCTGTTTGAGATGATCTGGAGTGTGTGGCTGAAGAGGAGGGGCCACAATGGCCTTGGCTTACCAGTCACCCAGTTGGGTGCCACACAGCAGCTTCCTCAAACCACTCACCCTCTGGGGCCTGTCCTTCAGAGTGGTCCCTTATCTTCAGAAAGTTCCTGCTGCCTGCAGCCCCTATCCATCCCCCAGGCTTCAACTGTCCCCCATGATTCCGAGCGACTTGGGTCTCAGCACTCAGCTGTCACCACTTCAGTTGAAGACCCAGAGAAGGACTAACCCTCTACTTTACATGTTCATCCCCTTAGCCGATGGGGACCAAACATGCAGTAGGTGCCAAGTCAATGCTTTTTGTTTACTTGTCTAGTATTGGCATGGGAAGTCAGACCCCCAAAGCTGCTCTCTCTTTCCAGGGAACAATGACATCTGGCACTACTGGACAGCAGCAGGAGCAAATCAGCCTTGTTTTGTTATTGATTTCCACTCATTCGGCAATTGTCAAACAGCCCATGGGCCACATGTACCTCAGGACCGACCGAAAGCAAGAGAGGTTGCTAGACAAAGACCTTAGCAGGAACCTAAGGAGCAGCCTGCATGTGGGGTGGTCTTCCAGGTAGGGCAGCAACAACTTCAAAGGCCCTGGGGTAGGAATGGCCCCGGGGCTGCTACTTGAGAAATGGGTTTCTTAATTAGCAAACCAAGCTAGGACTTTCTGCTTGTATTCTGAATGTGCTCAAAACAGCCCAGGTTTCCTGGTCCTGTCTGTCATGAGTTACTCACTGCCCTGTGGGGTTGAGAGCAGGCAGCCTAGGGCCAGGTCGGGGGTACACCTCAGTTTTGAGCCACTTGGAGAATGCCTTTACTACGAGGTTATCACCTGGGCTTCTGCGAACCCCAGGGCTGTATTCTCAGCCATGGCCCTGCTGGAGTTACTGTGGAGGCCACACCTCACCCAGGCTTAATGCCCCAACCCCTGAGGTAGACCCCTGTGCTAGAGGGATAGTGGATGGGTCTCAGTGGCCTCTCGCCCCACCCTAACCTTTATCTTCATGTGCACGTGGTGTTAGAGAAGCCACACTTTCCTCAGACATGCCAGAAGGCTGAGAATCATATTCCAATGCAAAATCAGTGGGTCCTCCACCTACACGTGCAAAATCAGTGGGTCCTCCACCTACACGTACAGGGGAGCCTCTGAGTGCTACCTGGCCCTCCTCCCTCCTCTGCTCCCTGCCCACCTCCCTGTCTTTTCTCATTAGGCTGCTGAGAGATTCTGAGGGTGGCTCCGGCTGGCCTCCCTCCCAGCTCTTAGCGTGACCCAGCCTCCAATCCCTCTTCAGATATGAATAAGTCTGTTCTGGCCAGAGCTCAGTTCTGCCGGGCCTCGAGCCGTCTTCCCTGGGCTCTCTCTCCATTTGGTTCCCCCAAGGTCTTCCTACCCTAGCTAGCAAATTCCCATCCCCCGCCCCCCATCTGAGGCTGGCACCCTGCTTGGGCACAGAGGTGTTTTATTTTCAATAGATGCTATCTACTGGGCACCCATGTGTCAAAGCCAAGCCTCCTCCCAGGGAAGTCAAGTGACCCCCAATCCTTGGGGTACACTAGAGTGAGGAGCCAGGAGCAGTGGGAGACTGTGCCCTGGGTCCCTGGGAGGGGAGGCGGGGGGATGTCTGGTTAGGCAGACACTGAAACTGGGTCATTGTCTAGGCCCACTGGTCAGGAAGGGATCCTGGAGATGGTCTCTCTGTGGGGTGTGATATGGAGTGTTGAGCTCTGGCAGGTTATTGTCAAGACTTGTGTTCGATTCTCAACTCAGACTTGTAGATACTGTGTGGCTCTGGGTAAGTCACTAGGCGTCTCTGGACAGTATTTTTCTCCATTACAAAGGCAGGTCAGGAGGAGGGGCTGGGAGTGTAAAATGCCCCTCCCCCACCCCGTAGCTCCAGCTTCCATTGTTTCTGTCTTTTCTCTTTGAGCCCTACTTAAGTGTAGGCTTGCCTGTCCCAGGAGACCACAGCTGTCACAGGGAGCATTCCGAAGGGAGCCTTGCTGACTGTTCCTGCTGTCACATCCCACCCCAGCTCTGTCTCCACAGCGAAGTCTCCACCTCCCCTCTCCCCCAAGGGGCCTCTTTCCGTGAAGGACTTGTGACTTTCCGTGGGACTTTCTCTCCCACCATGCCTGTGAGTGCCTTCCCAGTGCTTTCCTGGCAAAATGTCTCCTCTTGGTGTCCAGAGACGCCTCCTCGGGCCATCCGCTTCTGTTGACCAGGATCTGCCCCAGACCCGACTCTGAAACTGCCTCCACTTCCCCCTTCTTCCTGGGCCCATGTGTCCCCTGCTCGTTGCTCCAGCTTTTCAGAGCCAGAAGGAGGACGGATGGACAGATGGCCGCACTCTTTCACTTCCCAGAGGCCTGCACATGATGCACTTTCTGTTCAGCCTTGGAGAACTTACCAGTGTTACAGCTTCATCCCCCATAGCCTGAAACACCAACGGCCTGTAGTGAGCAATGCTCGGTTTGTGCCCTTGGGCACTGGCTTTGGACTTGGCCAAGGGACCTGCCATGGCCAAGGCAACATTAGTTAACACCACAGAAGCAGGAGCTGCACAGGACAGGGATGCCCTCCTGAATGCTGGCCCTTACTGGATGGAAGAAGGCTCAGCCTCGGTGCAATCTACAGGGCGTGAGAGCCCAGGGGGTGTGACGACCCATGTGGCTCTCTACTGAGAGGGTAGAGGCATCTTACAAGTACTAGCCCTGGGGGAGCCCCTTTGGCCACTTCAGCATGAGTAATCCCGGCTCTACCCGAGGAAGTGGAAGCAGCAGCCAGCTGAGCCCCCTCAGCCCGTAGAACTGTGCGGAATAGTAAGTTGACGCGGTCTCAAGTTCAGGGCTGCTCCGCCACACAACTGTAGAAGCTGAAACAAGTTCCTCACCCCAGACACAAATGTCATTTTTATCACCGCCATTTCCAGATGCCAAGGCTGAGGTTCAAGGAGCTGGAGCGCATTTGCCAGGGTTGCCTGGTGGGCCCATGTGGTGGCTGTGGACGTCCTGCTAGAGAGAGGATGATTGATCGACAGCCCAGTTACTGTCCCAGAGTTCACTATTGCTGCCCGACCAGCAGCAGCCTCAGGTGGTGAACAGCAAGGTGTGACCCTGCCAGCTGGACTGAACCTGGGGTTGTGTAGGAAGATCCTCCTCAGCTAGCTCAGGCTTCTCCCTTCTCTCCAGGGATCCCAGCCTAGGGATTCTCACCACCCTGTCTGTTCCATCACCTTCCTCCTCCATGGGTGTTTCCTCCAATAAAGACATTGCATTTCTAAGCCCATGGCGGGCAGGCTGGGCCATGCCTGGGCTTCCCTTCAGATGTTTCTCCTCTCAGAAAGAACTGACATCTTCAGACATCACCCCATCCAGACCCCAGCCTAAGGCAGACAAAAAGGAAACCTCCCAGATGAAGGAAAAAAAAAAGTCCCGGATTCCCCCCAACAGACATGTGGGGGCGATGGGGTGCAGGGACTTCACAGGACAGCTGGCTCTCAGGAACTGGTGCCATCCAAGAGAGCCGAGGAAGGAATGGCCGGTGACCAGATGGTGCACGCACCATTCCATGGGATCCTCTCCTATCCTGGAACCAAGGTTTACAACCCCATGCTAAGGACACGAGTCTTCACAAGGTGAAGCAGCTGGTCCTGTGTCATGGTTGTCATGGTTACTATGTGGCAGAGCTGAGACTTAACGTCTGAGGGAAATGGGCCCGTGGGTGCTCTGCAGAGCAGGGGTGGAGACCCCTGCCCTTCATGGTGTTACACCGCACTGTCCCCTGAGCAAAGCACCTGCCGTCTCCATAAAACCGCATGTGTCTGCTTGCAGGAGACCATCACCCTGGCTGATGGTCCTTTGCAGAAGGAGGTTGGGGTGGGGGTCATGGAGCTCCCACCCCACCATGCGTTTGCAGTTCTACCCTGATAGCACACAGCACTGGGCTAAAGTAGAGGGCTGAGGAAGACGAGTGGAAGGGTCGGTCTGCACGGCCATGGGGATGCCATCACCCATGCTGGGTGTAGACCCTCTAGAATGGCTGCTTTTCACCACACTCCTGCCCCTTTGCCCATGCCAAACTCATTGGTCCCCAGGGCGAACTCTGGTAGAATCAAACTCTAGTTTGTCACCGGGACCTTATGAGAAGGGTATAGACATTGCTTATCCTCCCCTCCTCCCCCTCACATGCACACAAGAAGAAAATTCTTGCAACACATTGCTCCTGGGAGACCTTGGGGACATTGCCTGGGTGGTCCCCCAGCCTCAATTTTGTCACATGTAAAACTGGGAGACCCTCCCTATGTCATCCTCCTAGGGGCCTTGTAAGTGTGAGTAAGGAGTCTCGTGAGGGCTGTTGAATCTCTGATAGTTCTCTGTAACACGAATCTTAAAAAGTCTTATTAATTAAAAAACCAAAAAACACAAAAAACGGAGTCAGACATTGGGGTGATAGCTGAGAGATCAGAGAGACAGAACAAGCCACAGCCTACCCCACCTTGCCAACTCCTCAGCTGATTCTGTTTCCATGAATCCTCAGACTGAAAACCTCTGAGTCCTCAGCAGGAAGGGATCTCAGCTGAACTGCTGCTCAAAAACCTAAAAACTTAAAAGCCTCTAGTTCCTGGTCTTCATGCTTTATATACCTTTCTGCTTCCTGCCATCACTTCCTGGGATTAAAGGCGTGTGTCACCATGCCTGGCTCTGTTCCCCAGTGTGGACTTGAACTCACAGAGATCCAGAAGGATCTCTCTGCCTCCCAAATGCTAGGATTAAAGGTGTGGGCTACCATTGCCTGACTTTTATGTTTAATATAGTGGCTGGCTTTTCCCTCTGATCCTCAGATAAGCTTTATTAGGGTGCACAATATATTGGGGGACACAATACATCACCACAGCTCTCTTTCTCCACCTCCACCCTGGGATCCTCCTGCCTCTGCCTCCCCAGCACTGAGGTTGCAGGCACACATTGCCACGCTGGCTTTTTATGCATGTGCTTGGGATCTGAACTCAAGTTCTCATACTTGTGCACACAACAGGCACTGTCTACCCAGCTCAGTCCACATTAGCCCTGACCTCCGTTCCCACGTGGAGTTGTTTTCTTCCCACTTTAGATGTATTCAGACCCCAGGCTGACCACCAGCTACTCGAGAGATGATGAACAGACCCGATTCATAGCTCCATATTGCCTTTATTCCAACAAAACAACATGTCAACAACTAAAACCCCCATAAATCAGTGAGGAACACAAAAATTGAAGGCTCTAATCCAGGACCCAAAAAAATCCCCCGGATTCTTTCCCCATGAGGGGAGGTTTTCCACAGGGACCAGGCTTGGCGGGGACTCACGTGCCTGCTCCTTGAGAAAGCTCCTGGGATAAAAATAGCCAGGCAGCAGGCGGCCCTTCTGGGGCCTGGAGGAGTGAGGGGAGGGGGCCGGCTCTGCAGAGCTCTGTCCCTGAGAAACGGGAATAAGAGCAGGGCTCCATAACCCAGGGTCTGAGGGCCAAGCCCAAAGAGTCTGAGGAGACAGAGGGTGGAGAGCATCCCAGAGAAGAGAAGGAAGACATTGACTGCAAAAAAAAAAAATTAAAAAAAAATAAAATAAAAAACAACAAACAACTTTTACAAGGCCCAGGGGACAATACAGTCTGACTGCTGAAAAGAATCGTAGCCAAAGCAGTCATTTCCCGGAAGCCCTCCTTTTATGGGGACTGTCCCACCCCCCAGGGGATCCAGTTTAGACTTCACCTTTCTCTTTGCTAAGTGACCTCTTGGCCAGTCTCAAGATTAAATTGCTCATGGGAGGGGCGGGGCACCTGAGCGAGCCCTCGGACAATCAGACACGCAGAACCAGGACTTCTAAGGAACTTGGGGCTGTGGGCTCTGAAATGCAAAGGAACCTTCTAGAGTGTCCTGTCCCCAGCCAAGGCCTATGTGCTAGTGAAGGATCTAGGACCAAGGAGGGACAGTAGTGAGCCCGGGTCTCCCAGCAAGTGTCCCGGACCCTCATGCAGGGATGCTGCAGTTGAGTCTCGCCAGGGTTCTTATCACTCATCAGTGATGGCCATGCACCTGCTTAACACTGTTAGGGAAACGCACCTCAAAACCCCCGGAGTCGGGGGAGTGAGACGGCTCAGTGGGTGAAGCAGCTTGCTGCTGAGCCCGGTGACCTCAGTTTGATCCTTGAGACCCGCAAAGTAGAAGGGACAAAGTGACTCTCTCGGGGTCAGGTTGTCCTCTGACCTCCACAGGGGAGCCATAGCATGTGTGCTCTACCCTACCCACGGACGCAAAACAAATGTTTTTAAAGTTAAAAAAACAAAGCTCACAAGACCACCAGAGACACCATTTCACTCACCGGAACAGCTAGAGTGGAAGTGACAGACAAGCTGGGTTGGGGGGCCTGGGCTCGTAATCCCAGCCACTCCAGAGGCTGAGGCAGGAGGATTTCAAGTTTGAGGCCAACTGAGCTACATCGCAAGACTCCCTCCCATGCTTTGTTAAAAGGAAGAAAGGGAGGGAGGGAGGGCGGGAGGGAGGAAGGAAGGAAGGAAGGAAGGAAGGAAGGAAGGAAGGAAGGAAGGAAGGAAGGAAGGAAGGAGAGAGGAAAGAGCCTATAATGTGGCCCAATGGTGCTTTCTGGTCCATTCATTCTCCCCTCACCTCTTGTCAGCCTTTCTCAGTCGCTTCCACACCCTCTCTCCAGGCAGATGTGGTCTGTCCATGTGGTCACCCTTTGCTGTGGAGCTACCCGCCCCCCCAACACACACACACACACACACACACACACACACACACACACACACACAATATCAAGGCATTGACAAGAACAGGAACCATCACACGCTGCTGCCTCTACTGTAAAATGGTGCGGCCACTTTGGAAAACAATTTGGTAGACTTCAAAAAGCTGAACGGAGATTTACATTATTACCCAGGAACTCCACTCCTGGATCTCCACCCGAGAGAACGTAAGACAAATGTGCAGACCGAAAACAGGCACGCCAAGTGTTCACAACACTGCTTGTAACAGACCAAGCGGAAACAACCCAGTCTGTCGGGTAGTGAGCAGTAAGCTGTGCCCTTGCTGTTCAATGGAACCTTCCTCAACAGTAAAAAGAGAGTAAAGCGCTGACACAGAGAACAGCACGCAAACACGGACGTTGTTATGCTAGATGCAGACACCACTTACAGAAGACTCCATTTTATATGCATGCATTTAATGGGCCCCACACCCAGATCTGCCCTGAAATGCCGACTCACCTGCTCTTACCCCTCAACTGCCGTGGTTTACAGGCGTGCACTACCAATTGAACACACACTTCCTTTTTTTTTTTTTTTTTTAAGGAAAAAAAAAAACCAAGTTGCTTTAGTACCCTGCAAAGCCTACATCAAGCATGGCAGAGACAGAAGGGTGAACTTTATATTTTATGGGGTTTTTTTTGTTTTTGTTTTTTGGTTTTTTGTTTGTTTGTTTGTTTGTTTGTTTTTTTGAGACAGGGTTTCTCTGTGTAGCTTTGTG